GTGAGGGGCGGGCGGTGCCGGCGCCTCCCGTCCCTCCCCGTGCTGCTCGGGGCCGCCGGCGGGGATTGCACTGGAATTTGGGAGTGTTTATTTGTGAGAACGAACTGGGCCTTACGGACCCGTTTGGGGCTTTTTTTCACCCTGCTGTAGCCTGATCTGCTTCCTCAGAGGAAGGAGTGATGAGCGTGTTTAATATATCTAAAAATGTATGTGTGCAATCCACTCAACCTCTCAGGAGTGCTGCATACCCATATTTATTTATTTACATGTACGGGCTGATAAAAAGAAAAACATTCCGACTTTAAATCATTGTAAAACATACAGAAAAAACAAAATAGTTTTATTTTTTTATTAGCTTATTTTAGTTTGGCCATTTAACTTGAGTACAGAATGATAAGGAAATGAAAATATACGTTTTACAGCTCTTTTGTGTAAAAGAAAATCTTTAGGCAGGCTCTTGTTATTCATCCCGCTGGGGTCTGGGGGCTCCTGGCCTTTCCTCCCTGTGGGCTGCAGGGGGATTTAGGGGCTCCCTGGGGGTGCACTGTGGGGCTGGCTGGTCCCTGGGGTGGCTCCAGCCCCCTCTCCCATAAAACCAGGCAGGGCTTTGCTGGTTCCAGGCACCCCGGGGCTCTCAGAGCTCCCCCAGCCTGCGGGGGCTCTTGGCACAGGGGCTTTGTCCCCAGCCTGGCTCCGCCTGCAGTGGTTCCATGCTGTGCCCAGATAACTGCAGTGTGCAGCTCTGCGTGCAGGAGATAATTTGGAGACACCAAATTGGTGTGTGGGAGGAGATCTCTGCGCTGGGCTGGGCTGCATTTATATAAGGAGGGGGGAGGCTGTGTTTTCTTCTATATCCCAACCTGCTGAAAGCCTTGTTTGTTTTGAAAGGAGGGAGAATCCCCTTGGAGAGGGGGCCTGGGTGCTGGAGGCCCCCGGGCGGGTGTGCACGGGCAGAGCACGATGCCGTTCTTGCACGGCTTCCGCAGGATCGTCCTGGAGTACCAGCCCCTGGTGGATGAGCTCCTGGGGCTGCTGGCCACGCCCGACATGGAAAGGCAGAGCTCCCTGGAGAGGTAACAGCAGGGGCTGAACACCCTGGGGTGGTTTTGGGGAATGGTTGGAGCTCAGGGATGTGGCCAAGGTTGGACAACATTGGCTTGGGACAGCCCCCAGTTCTGGGGAGCAGCTCATCCCACAGACCCTCCTGCTGCTATTCTTTGGGAACGTGGAGGTGAAGCAAGGCAAATGCAGGAACTATGGGCGCTCCCCAGGAACAGCCCTTTCTGCCTGACCCCAGGCAACAAAGCCTAAACTGGGGCTCAGCTGCTCTGTAACCCCACAGCCAGGTTGGAGACCCACTGGGTACAGAACCAGGGATTTTCCTTCTTCCCTGGTGCCACTTTGACCCTTGCACATCTGAGCTATCTTCACTGAGTAACTGCTGGGTTTTTTGTGTTTCTCAAGCCCTGCCTGCCTGGACAGTGACAGGAGCCAGTTCTCAGCTGTGAGAGGAGTCCTGGAGAGGGAGACCCACTCCCCATTTTATCAAGAAGGTGTGAACTATGCCCTGCTGAAGGTCAGCGAGCTGGGGCTTGTCCCTGCTGCAGAAATCCTCCTGGAATTTGGTGCTGACCTCAGCTTTGAAGGTGAGACTGGTAGGAAGGAGGCTGGACCAGGAGGAACCAGCAGATGAGAACCTGCCCTGGGAGGTGGGGATAGCTGGGGCAGAAAGAGGGGATGCTACCAGCTCAGACCACTCCTGCTCCTTGCTGGAGTAGTGTGTATGTGCCTCATGGAGACCCAGCCACAAGGATGGACTGAGGGACACCAGGGACTTGGGGGCTTTTGGCAGGATGGAACCACTGGAACAGCAGGGCCTGGAGTGCCTGTGACAGCCCTATTTTCACAGGCACCACTGTGCTCCCAGGACCCTCCCCAGCTGTCCCCTTCCACTCTTGGCAGGTGCTGGGGCCATTCTGGGGAAGCCCTTTGTTCTCTCTGACTGTTTTTACCCTCAGACCCAATCACCTACTACACCCCCCTGCACATCGCGGTGCTGCGTAACCAGCTGGACGTGGTGGAGCTCCTGGTGCGCCACGGCGCCGACATCAACCGCCGAGACCGGGTACGGTCAGCCAGGCTGAGCCCCCCAAGCCTGAGCTGCTCTGGTGTGTGGGGACAGCCCTCCTGCTGCCCTCCCCTTGGCACATCCCTGTGCCCGCTGTCTGTAGTGCTCTGATGCTGTGGCAGAATGTCAAGTTGCCTTTGGCTGAGCCCCTGCCTTGGAGCAATGTGTGGGAGGAGGCTGCAGAGACACTCTTACTGTGGCCAAGATAAAGCCCCAACAGTGACTCCCTGCAGTCACTCACAGTCTGCAATACCTACCAGTGTTTTTAACTGTTCTGCAGATCCATGAGAGCAGCCCCCTGGACCTGGCCAGCGAGGAGCCCGAGCGGTTGCCGTGCCTGAGGCGGCTGTTGCAGCTGGGGGCCGACGTCAACGCCGCTGACAAGAACGGTGCGTGCGCCCCACCCGGCTCCCCCAGCCGAGGGTGGGCTGGGGCAGGGCACAGGGGTGGGGCCATTTGCTGCTGCATCTGCTCCCTGCTTACAGACAGGTTTGGAAGTTGGGAGGAAGCTGGTGCAACCTCCCTGTGCTCGGTATTTTCTCTTGGTGTGCTGGCTGTGTGAAAAGGGCTGAACCTAGCTCTGTGTAGTCCAGGGGAGGTGGGATGGGGCTGTGCCTCTGTTGTCCTGTGGTGCCCACTTACTCTAAAACTCACTCTGCTGTGGCACATGTACCCACTGAGGCCACCACCAGCCATGCACTTGTGGCCTGTGACTGTCCCCACAGCTGGGTACCATCACGAGGACAGTGGAAGCCTCTGCCAGAAGAAGGGTTGTCACGGCTGTGTTTGGCTGTCTGGTGGGTGGGGTGGATTGTTTTCCTTCCTGCCTTTTGGGGTGTCACCCAAAGCAAATTGATTGCTCTGTTGCAGGGAAGACAGCACTGCTGCATGCCCTGGCCAGCAGTAACAGTGGCCAGATCCACAACACCGACAACATCCGTCTCCTGCTGGAAGGAGGTAAAGAAAACCTTCTCCCCTTTCTGGGCTGGCTGATTCTTTGTACAGCACCAGGCACTGCCCTCCTGACTCCATTATGTTCCTGCTGGATCAGATTAAAGCCCAGGGGTGCTGGAGTTGGTGCTGGCCTGGCCTCACCAGCTCCTCACTGCACAGTTCTGCAGTGTCAGTTATGTTCTTTGTCCCTTCCTGCAGGTGCAGATGTCAGGGCTGCCACCAAAGATGGTGACACTGTCTTCACCTATGTCATCTACCTGCTGGGAGAGATGGTATTCAGCTACACCAAGGAACAGGCCGAGGACATCGAGCGCTTCTGCTTCTGTGTCACGCAGCTGCTGCTGGCCCACGGTGCCAACCCCAGCGAGTGCCCAGCCTCAGAGTCCCTCACACACTTCTGCTTAAAAAGCTTCAAAGACTACTTCCCAATGCTGCGGTTCTTGCTGGAGTCAGGTGCTGCCTACAACTGCTCCCTCCATGGTCCCTCGTGCTGGTCTGGCTTCCACATCGCCTTTGAACGCCTCTGCTGGCACCTCAGTCGCTCTGAAGATGAAACCTATTTCACAGATCTCATCCAGAAGGGTCAGACTCTGCTGGAGCTCATGATGGCCAGTTCACAAGCCATCCAGCTGCCCAGTAATTTTGAGGTGAACACCAGCAGCTGTAGGTTCCATGGGGAGAAGGTTCAGACTCTGTTCTGCTCTCTGAAGCAGCTGGAGCGCTCGCCACAGGCACTGAAACACCTCTGCAGGGTGTTCATCCGGCAGTGCCTGAAACCGTGGCCAGTGGACGACAAAATCAAAGCTCTGCCTCTCCCAGACCGGCTGAAGTGGTACCTCTGCATTGACCATGCTGCTGCTGGGCACGAGGGCCTGTGAGCCTGACACTGCCTGTCTGCTCCGTCCCCAGTCCTGCTGTGCCTACAGCCAGCATGTCTCTGCTCTGAGACAGTTTTCTCTGCAGCAAGAGGTGCTGCCCGAGTCCCTCTCTGTGGCATTCCCAGGGTTTTCTTGGGCACAACATCACACATGTTTGTTAAGGTCTCGTTGCTCTGGGGCACGTCATGGGGAGGCAGGCAGAGCTCCTGGGCATGGGGGAGCTGCATACTGGGGCTGGTTTGGAGGGAGATTAAGCAAAGGCCTGGGGGCAGAATCAGTGGGTTGGGGGCTGTGACTGGACAAGCAGCCTGTCCCCTCTCTCCCAGCCCTGCTGTGGGTGGGTGATGCAGTGCCTTACGTGTCCAATGGAGTTGAGAGATGCCTCGGGGTGCTGGGAGAAGGAAGAGGTGTTCTAGCCTTCCTGCCTCTGGTTCTGGTGGTGGAAGCAGGTCCAGCATCATCCTGTGGATGTGGATGCCTTCCTTGCTCAGTGTGGACTTCTGACACTGGGAATGGGAGTGAAGGGAAGCAGGGCTGGCAACAGTGCTGGACTGCTTCACACCCTCTGAGTTTCTGCACCCCACCCTGGCACAGAGGACCATCCACCAAGGACATCTGAGAGTTACTGGGCTCCAAAACACACAACAGAATGTTTCCTGACTTCATGGTGTGTTCCCTGTGCAAGGATGAGGAATGGGCTGTCAGCAGCTGAGTGCCTTGTGCCTCCTTCCCCATTCCTTGGCTCTTTCCATTGGTGACCACTCCCAGGATCTTGAGTGCCTCCTTCCCAGGAACAAGAAATTGCTGCACATGGAGGGCTCATGTTCCAGCCTTGCCACATCTGCCTGGCTTCCTTTCTAGGCACCTGCTTCCTCATGACATGCCAAAGCCTGGCCAGAGCTGAACCCCACACAGTTTTGTTGATTCGTTTTTCATGGGTAACAGATGTAGAAGATGAAGAGGAAGAATCTGTTCTCATTACAGACACTTTGTATCTGAGATTCACTGGCAGTTGGAACTGGAACTGTGTGTCCTGATGAACTGGTGCTTAAAAAAATCCAATAATGTGATCAAATTCTGCCCCGGAATGGGAACTGAACCATTAAACGAGGCCTTCTGTAATAACACCAGGGGCTTGTTTTTCCTTAGGAGAAGTGGGCTGAAGGACAGAAATGGGGGGATGGCTGGAGGGTTGAGCTGCAGCAGACTCTGCACCTGGGCTCACCCTTGGCACACTGCTGTGTCAGTGTTTGCCACCTTGGGTCAGTGGCCAGATTTGGGTAAATGAAGGGAATATGACCAAAGAGGAGATGGGAATGTTTAAAGCCAGGGGATAGTGTGGGGTGCTGGGAGAGCAGCTGCAGCATCATAGCCATGGAGCTGGAGGTGATGGGTGGGTCTGGGAGCAGCTCAGACCACACCAGTACACTCCTAGAAATTGCAAGGCTTTGTTTGGGATACCCTTATCCCTGGAGGAGGATGTGGGGGACGACTCAGGAGGGTTACACACACCTCCCGTTTTGTTGCTCATGTTGGAGATCTGCTCAGGGGTTTAAAGGTGAGGCCCCCTCAAAGCCTCAGAACCCAGTGCTGCCTCCCCACACCACCACAGGGGAACAGCAGAGGCTTCTCCCCTTTGCCTTGCCCAGCTCACTGCTGAGCAGCAGGAAGGGGTCAAACACCTGAGCAAAGAATGGAGCCCAGTCCATCCAAAGGTGCCCCAAGCTCCTGTTCATGAGCAGGAGTCCTGTGCACTGCAGTCAGCAACCTGCAGCTGCCCATGGACCACCTCGTGCATGGGAGACCCTCTTGCTCCTGTCCGGAGCCCCTGAGGGTGGCACAGAGCCAACATGCATCTGACAGACCTCACGTGCAGAAGTGCAACAGCAGGAAAATGTATTTGGCAAACACCTCTTTTCACAAACAGCAGCAACTTGGAAGACAAAGTCCCATCCTTGTCACCAGCCCCTGGAAGGGGAGTCACGACATGGGAGAGACCTTCTCCCACTGCCCTCATCTCATGGCAAAGGTGTAGACGTGGTAGATCTCATCAGGGAAGTTCTCCTGGCGCTCCTCAGCCAGGAGGTGCAGCCCAGCTCTGCGGATGATCTTATGGACCACGTCCAGGTCCCGGCAGACGCTGCTGTCCACATCGTCCATGATCACACCCTCCTGAGCCATGTTGTCCTTGATGACCACGATGCCGTTGGGCCGCAGGCCGGCACGGCAGCGCTTCAGGAAGTCAGAGAGGTGGTTGTCAGTGAGATGTCCTGGAGGGGCAGAGCAGGGGTTAGAGGACAGAGGGTGACGAAGGGGAGGAAACTCAGAAGCTGCATTTGGGATCCCTCCTGATCCAAGTGACCAAATACTTGAGACATTTGCAGGGAAAGCTTTAGTTTGGGGGTGTCCAACTTCTGTCTCACTACTCAACTCCATCCAACCCACACCTCTGTTCTGGCCTCTGTGAGCTTGGAGGAAAAGACTCTTAGGGGGAAAAAGTATAGGGCCCCTCCATGGGATGGGAGGCAGCTGCCCAGCCCAGGCCCCACCCATGCTGCGATGCTCATCCTCCATGCAGACCTCAAGCTGCTCTCCCCAGTGCATAGGGCACCTGCCCCTCAAGGGAAGGGACAGGCTGGAAAGACCCCACAAGCAGTGACCCTCACCGATGACCCACTGGATCCAGATGACATCATAGGAGTTTGGCTCAGGGCTGAAGTCCTGGAGGCCGCAGCAGAAGTAGTTGCGCACCCGCCTGCCCTCCTCACCCAGGTAGCTCTTGGCCTTGGTGAGGAAGTCCTCTGTCACATCCACCATGTCCACTGTCTTGAAGAGGGGCAGCAGCAGCCGCTTGGTGATCCGGCCAATGCCAGCCCCACAGTCCAGAGCACGGGTTGTCCCCGTCCGGTTGGGGCCATCCTGCAACAACCACCGTGAGGGGTGAACCCCACTGCGAGGTCCCCACAGAGGAGAAACGGGACAACCACACAGGGCAGGACTGGGGTGCAGGGAACCCGCTGCAGGGCGAAGCTCTCCCAGCATGCAACAGAGGATCCCATGGAGTAATTCAGAGGGAAGAGCCCAGCTCAACGCTGGGAGAAGGGCGGGGTTTCAGGAGCACTACTAGCTGTGCCACCTACCCGCAGAAACCTCTGCAGGAACTTCCTGGAGCTGTTGATGTCGATGCTGGAGATGTGGCCGTAGCCCCCCAGCATGCCATCCACTGTGGCGGGCACATCCTTCCAGTACTTCTCTGCCTTGGAGTAAAACTCAAACTCGTTCTCCACCACCTCGCTGGTCATGCTGGCTGAGGGCACGCGCCCACACGGGACTCACTGCTCCCCTGGGATGGGAGAATCCCAAACCAGCGAGGAATGAGTCAGCTCTGCCAGTACCCCACACCTGTTTATCACCCCTTTCCCCTTCCCAGGGCTACTGCAGACTCCAAAACCTTTCAGATAAGAGCAAGAAGGAACAAAGACCTAATTCTGGTATATTTCAACAAGCCCGAAACCCCTCCCTGAGCAGACACCTCAGCCAGAACAGCCATGGCAGAGCCTTGCTCAGCAATACACCTAATTATCTGATTATTTTTTAAGGCTGACCCACCCTTTTCACCTATTCTGCCTCTCCTTTCTGTCTTAACATTTTACAGATTAGATGTTTATGTGTGGTGACAACCCTATCAGTCACCTCCAATTACATCTGGAGTTGCTAAAAGTTATCCTGAGCACCTACCTGAGGATTGTAAATCTCAGCCGTGACCACAAGTTAGATATTTGCAATATAATAAAGTCAAGGTATAATCAGCAATACAAGCTATAAATCCCCCCCCCAGGCATCTCATAATTCAAACCACTGTGGATTTGATTAACTGCGCTGGGGATTAGAAACTAGATTGAAGGTGGCCAAAGGGTAAATTCAAGGACTTCAAACACCTTTACAAATAAAGAAATATATAGAATTTGTGGCCGGAATTTGCTGGCAAATACCCCATTAGACACAAAACGTTTTCTATGGCAGGTCTGGTGGCCCCATGTGGCCTCAAACAGCCTAGGAGTAGGAAAGGGGGAGATGACAACTTACAGGTCACCGGTGGAAATCCAGTTTGGCTCAGTGGTGCCAGGAGCTGGTCTGAGCTGTGACCTAGGAGCAGAGAAGATGGGATTTAAGTGACAAATCACCCGTCTCGTCCCGTAAGTGTGACTGTGGCCCAAGGAAACCACAGGTAAGAGACACCCCAGCCCCACAGACACGGTCCCAGGGAGGCTGGGGGACAGGAGCTGCTGCTGCCCCTTAGCTCCGAGGCTGCACCACGAGTTGAGGCAGTGCATGGAGGCTTCTGGCTCCACTTTGAGCAGTGCTATTTTCTGATCTCAAGGGCTGGGACCCAAGCTCACCCTCCCGGCTGTGACCCCATTCCTTGGCTTGGGTTTGGCTTGGCGAGTCCCTGATGGCTCATTTCTCACGGTGTCACAGGCTACCAGCACAGACAGAGAGCATCCAGTCCCCCTAAGCCAAACCTAAACCTGAAGCCGAACCCTTCTTGCAGCCCAGGAGCCCCCGGAACGCGGCCGGTGCCCGCGGAAGTGCGGGCAAGGGAAGGCCAGGCCTCGCCCCACGGCCGCCGCAGCCGTGGGGAGAAGGTCACAGGGCGTGGGGGGGACACCGCCGTGTGGG